GCCAGCCGCAGCTGGCCGCCATCCTCTCCCGTCTAGAGGCTGCTGTCGTCGCCGGGCCCATTCGCGAGCTCGACACTGCCGCCCTCGCCCTCAAGGCCCTGGTGGAGAACATTGTGGCGGCGCTCGACGCCGAGCATGCTGCAGCAGCAGCTGCCGCCGTCGCCGCCGCGGCGTCGGCGTCGGCGTCGGCCACCTCGGGCTCTGATGCTCAGGCCGGCGTCTCGGACGCCATGCTCGGTCGTGCCCACTTTACCGCCGCCCACGTCCTCGAGCCGCTCACCAGCGGCCTGGAAAAGGCCGCGGCCCTGTCGGACAACCACCTGCTGCGTTGCCTCGAGGTTCTCTCGGTTTTTACGGGTTCAGCCTGGTTCTCGTCGATTGTCCTCGACTCACAGAACGCCATCGTCGACACTGTCCGCGCGCTCTTCTCTCACTCGCGCGCCACCGCCCGCAAGCTTGCCATTGGCTGCTACGTCGCCGTCGCCCACTTTGCCCGCTCCGAGGGCGAGGACGAGCTTGTGGCAGAGCTTGTGGCAGACATTGTCTCGTGGCTCGAGACCCACGCCGCCGAGTGGCGCCAGGACGCCGCAAGCCCGGCCGCCAACGCCACCCTTCGCACCTACGTCCTCGCCCTCTCTAGCCTCGTCGCCGCCGTCCCATCGGCCTTTACCCCGCACCTGGCCACCGTCCTCGACACCCTTACGCTTGTCATTGCAGACCCGGCCGACCGTGAGCACGTCTCCGACTCGGTTGTTGAGCTCTCCGAGGCCGTCCTCCTTGCCCTTCGCGCCGTTGTCCTCGCCCTCTCCACCTCGCTCCCGCCGCGACTGCTGGACGCCATCAAGGGCCTGGCCACTTCTGCCGTCACCTTTGATCCCAATTTTCAAGGCTCCAGCCCGGCCACCGATGCCGCCGGCCCGGCCGACGAGTCGATGGCCGTTTCTGAGGGCAGCGACAACGACGATGACGACGACCTGCTCTTCGACTCGGAGTTTGAGGACTCGGACGAGGGATTCACCGACGATGACGAGGACATTTCCTGGAAAGTCCGTCGTGCCGGTTGGCAGCTCCTCACCGCCATCATCTCGTCGACGCCCGGCGTTGTTGCTACGCTCTTCGAGACCTCGCTTTCGCTCTTTGTGGCTCGCTTTGACGAGCGCGAGCCGACGGTCCAGACTCATGCCTTTGAGACCTTTGTGGCGCTGCTGGAGCAGACCTACGCCTTTGCCGACGTCAACGACCACGCACTGGCGATTCTCCGCGATTCTCTGCCGTCAGTCGTTGCCTCTCTCGCCCGCGTCGCCGACGCCCGCGTTGAGTCGTCGCGGGTCGGCGCCATCAACGTCTTCCTCGCTCTCCTCAAGCTTGTTGGCGTCGCCGGTCTTGCCCCGGACTACCCACAGTGGCACCGAGTCTTCCGCGCTGGTCTCGCCGCCTCACGCAAGTACACGGACGACGTCCGCATCGCTACGCTCGCTGGCATTCGCGCCTTCTTCACCGCGCTCCCATCGTCGCTTGCCCAGCTCGGCTCGCTGCCCGCTGTTCAGGTTGTCACTGAGCTTGTGCCCGACGTCGTCGCCCTTGCCACGCTCGACTGCGACTACCGCCTCACCGTCGCCGCCCTTCATGGCCTCGCTTCGCTCTTCCCGCACCTGGAGGGCTGCATGACCCGCGACGAGATTGCGGGCGAGGCCTTTACCACCCTGGTGAGCCCAGTCTTTGCCGCCCTCGATGCCCTACTCTCGGCCGCCAACGTCTACACCGACGTCCGCAAGGTTGTCCTCTCTGCCTTTGCTGAGCTGGTGGTGAGCGCGTGTGCTGTGGCGGTTCCACCCCGTCTCGTCACCGCTATGGACCCGCTCTTTGTCGCCTTTGCCGCCAAGCTCGACTCGGACGTCATCCGCTCGGCCTCGGTTGCCGCGCTCTGCCGCATGTGTGAGGCTGCTGTCCCCCCGCCGTCGCTTGTTGCCCACCTTCCAACTGTCCTCGCCAAGCTCTGCGACTTCCTCGTCCTCGCCTCGCGCCCGCTCAAGCAGCATGCACTCCTCGCCATCCGCCTTGTGGTCACGTCGTACGCGTCGGCGCTCGAGACCGCCGCCCTCTCGGCAGACACCCAGACCCTTGTCGCCACCATTCTCAAACGCATTGGTGCCTCGCTCCTTTCGCCGCGGGATGTGCTCCTCGCCACAACCGCCATCGAGACCGCGCTTGCGCTTGCGCCATTTGTGGGCCCGGCCAGCTTTCGGCGCACCACCGAGGCCGACGTCCTCAAGCTGGCCACAGCGCCGACCACTACTGGCGCTGTCGACGAGTGCGGCGATGCCATCCTTGCCTACTACTCGTTTCTAGTCTCGTCCGGCGCCATGAGCCTCGACGACCTCACAGCCGCCCTCATTGGCCTCGCCACAACGCTCACTTGCCTTGATGATCTCCCGCGATCGGCCTTTGTCATTTTTGGGCGCATCCTCGGCCGCGCCGCATCTTCCAACCCAGACGTTAGCGCCACCGCCGCTGCCACCGCCCACCTCGCGGTTGTCCGCCAGTACGGGCTCTGCATCCAGGCGGCCACCGCCGCCAAGGCCAAGCTCGCTGCCAAGCGTGCCAAGCTCGCCGCCAAGGTTGAGGCATCAGAGGGCGCCGTGGCGGCAGAGGCCGAGGCTTCGTCATCGTCGCGTTCCGGCAGTGGCGCAAGCGCTTCGGCATCGGCCAACGCCGCCGCCCACCGGGCGACGCTCAAGAAGACGGAGGACCAGCTGGCAGCAGTGCTGGCCGAGATCGACGCACTGCGCGAGGCCGAGCCGGCTGACATTGGCGGTGCCCTCGTTGCCACCTATGCGCTGGGCGAGCTCGCTGCCCGAGATGACTTGACTTCTGTCGAGGGCCTCTTTGACGCGGTTGTCGTCCTCCTCAGCTCGCTCGACGACCAGATCCGGTCGGCCGGCGCGTTTGCGCTCGGCCGCGCCCTGCTCGGCGCGCCGTCAACGTTCCTCCCGCAGGTGCTCGACGTTCTGGCCTCGGCCAACGCGTCGTCACTGTACTTTATTGTGCAGGCATTTGACCACATGTTCACCGCAGCGCAGGCGTCGGGCGTGGCGCTCGTCAGCATGTCCGACCTGCAGCCTGCACTCGAAACAATGCAGACCGGACTCTTTGCTGCTGCTGCCGAGCTACCTGCAGGCGACGGGACCCGCAACCTCATCGCGCGCGTCCTTGGTCTCCTTGCTCGCGGAGCGCTTGATTGCCAGCTGGGGATCCTTGCCGGCAAGCTGCAGCACGTCGATGAGGCACCAAGCGAGGCCGAGACCGCGCTGGTGGCGCTGCGGACCGCGCTTGCGCCACCGCTGGTGGTGGCCACTGCGCTCGCCTGCGTCGACCGCATCCTTCCGCTCCTTCTTCCGCTCCTCGGCCACACGGAGCTCGACGTCCGAGCCGCAGCAGTCGGAACTGTCGCCTTTGTGGCAAAGTTCTACGCCCGCGCGCTCGCGGCGCCCGCCGCACCCGACGCCGGCCTCGACCACGCCCTCCCGCTCCTCTACGCTCTGGTCGAGCCGAACCCAGATCTTGTGGAGACCGTTAACCGCGGGCCGTTCAAGCAGAAAATCGACCACGGCGCAAGCGTCCGCGCCGCCGCCCTCGACTGCATGGCCATCATCCTCTCCAAGCTCCCTGACCGGCTCGACATGGCCGAGTTTGTGCGGACCGTGGTGAGCGTCGGCATGGCCGACACCCAGCACCCGGTCAAGCTCCTTGCCCACCGCACACTCGTCCACATGGTCGCGCTTCTTCCCATCCCGCTCGCGCAGTGGACCGAGGCCATCATCGACGCGCTCCGCAAGTCGCTCGACGCCCGGCCGAAAGTCACCCACCAGCTTGCCATCCAGCAGCACACCGAGCTTGTCGAGAGCGCGCTCAAGGTGGTCGCCGCCATCTCGGCCTCGCCGCACCTTGCATCGCCGCGGTGGAACGCGTGGGTCGCCTCCGAAGTCACCACCGGCCAACATGCAGACACGTATGCCCGGTTGGTTGCTGCGTCGGCCAAGGACGCCGCTCGCTCATGATGAACCTGCCGCCGCTCTGCACAGCAGCTGCAGCTCGCGCGCTAGAGCTGCGCGCACACTCTCTGCCTCGCACACCAGTCGCACACAGGCCGTCATCCGCTCCGCATCGGATCCGTCCGTAACATAAACAGACGCAGCCAGCTCATCAGCGCCTTCCCACTCGGCTCGATAGCTTCCGGCCAGGCCGTCCAGCGGTGCGATCCGCAGCAGCGTCCGCAGCGGAGCAGCTGCCACAACGCCGACTTCCACGGCTGTATTCGGCACAGTGGCAGCACCCGCAACAATGGTGGCAGCCTGCGACCACAGGTACATGCCGACGCAGATGGCCTTGGACTGCGGCTTGCCCGTTCCTGGCGACCGCCACGAGACGACCACTTCGACGTTGCACTGGCCCGGCCCGCCGACGATGTTGAGCGGGCGGGCAATGACCACATCTTTGCCCGGCGCCAGCACCACGCCATCATCTAGCATCACTGGCACCGACTCCACGTCGGGATCGGTTGCGGGGGCAAGGATGATCTCGACGGAGCCGTCGTCTGCAGCGGTCGTGACCAGCGGGGCTCGACCGGCCGCCGACGGGGCGCGGCCGACGACGGTCACGGCGAGTGGGGGAAGCGGCAGGGCCGAGCCGGTGTGGGCGAGGCGGACAGCAAGAACGGGCAGGGAGGTCGGGGAGAGCGGCGGGCGCAGATCGGCACGGACCGCGAGAGCATCGGCGAGCATAGAGTCCATGGCCGCCGACATGCCTGCCATGGCCTCCACCGACGACGCCAGCGACGCCGCCAGCCGGGCCGACGACGAGCCGAGCTCGCCAGCCACCGCTGCCACTGCCGCCTCCACCTGGGCCAGACTGGCTCCTGTCGACGGGGGCGGGGGTGACGACATATAGAGGGGTGGGATGGGCGGGGAGTGGTGGTGGGTGGGTGGGTGGGTGGGGCGGGTGGGGACTGGGCGAATAAGCCGGCCCAGGACGGCTGGACTGGGCGATGATGGCCATGCGATGGCGAGTGTATGCGCTATGTTGGCGGGTGTGGCTGCGGCTGCGGTTGCAATAGTGGCTGCACTTATACCTGCTCACGTCAGAACGGTCTGAGGGTGGTCTGGTTTGGGCCGATCTGCGCCGAGCATGACGTCGGGCGACGGCAGGGCGATGGAGGTCGGTGAGGGGACAAACGAGCCCGGACCATAAGTCGCGCGCTGGATGATGGTCCGGGCGAGGCGTGGGATGAGCATGTCGAGCCAAATGACTGGCTGGATCTGGGCCCAGGGAAAGGTGACCGACTCGGTCCCGGATGCGGCGGCGGCAATGATGGCAGCAGCGGCGTCGTGGGGCGAAGCATATGGTAGATGCGCCACCTCGCCAGCGGTGTTGGTGCGATTGGCTGCGGTGTCGATGTTACCCAGCATGGCCATGGTTATGCCCAGCGGCGCGCCGGTCATGTCCAGCTCGTGCCGCAGCGATTCGAAAAAGCCGTGCAGCGCGTGCTTGGCCGCCGCGTACGGCGGAACCTTGGGCAGGCCGATCTTGCCGGCAACCGACGAGACAACAACCAGCTGCGCTCTCGAGCCCGCGTCCCCCGCGGCGAGGAGCAGGCCCATGGCGTGGGTCGCGATGGCCACGTACGAGTCAAAGTTGACTGCAAACAAGGCCCGCAGCGTGGGCGTGACCCGCACACCGTCCACGCCCGCGCCCTGGGCGGCTGCCAGTCTGGCGACATGGCTGCCATCAGGGCCCGCAAGCCAGTGCTGCCACCAGCCGGCGACATGGTTTAGAATGAGCATCCGCACGCCCGCCGGACCGACGATGGGCGGCAGCTCGACTGCCATCAGCCGCGCCACGGCGTCCTCGTCGGCCAGATCGGCCACCACGGTGACGATGGAGGCCAAGGGCGGCGGGCCAGGAGCCACCCGCCGCGCCTCTGCTGCCACATCGGCCAGCGCGGGAGCCGATCGTGCCACAGCCACTACGTTGGCGCCAGAAGCGGCCAGAGCCAGGACCAGGGCTCGGCCGATGCCCTTGCTCGCCCCGCACACCACCACCCACTGGCCGGCAAGGCCCGCCACCGCCGCACGACTCGCCGCCGCCCGCCACGCCCGCCACGCCGCTCCGCATGCGCATAACACCGCAGCCACCCCAAGCAGCACCCACATTCCGCCCATGGTCATCGCCGTCCACATCCAGCTCGCTACCGGCGCTAACGTCAGTCAGGTGCGCTTTCGCCCGCCGCCCGCCGGCTCGGCGAGACGGGTCGGCAGCCGCCGGCAGAGGGATTGGTTTACGACCGCCGGCGGCGGTGGGAAAGGAAGACAAGCTGGGGTGTGCCTCACATGGACGGGCTCAGACATCCGAGGCGGCGGCGGGGGAATCGGAAGATTGGACGGCGTCGTTGTCTTCGTCGTCGAGGAGGACATGCGACTTGAGGATAAAGCCAAAGTCGCCGTCGACTTGCATGCCGTACCACCAATCGGGCCCGCAGTCCTCTGCAATAATGTAGCGGGCGTTGGGCATGACAGGAAGTTGGTCGGCACGGCGCGGGGTGTACGACTTGCCCTCGACAGCCGAGGCCATGACCCGGGTCGGCCCGTTGAGCCGCCGAGACTCGCGGTGCGAGCGCTCGGTCGTCGGCTTGTTCCACAGCTCCTCCCACGGATCGTCGAGGAACTCAGCCTTGGGCCACGGCCCGGCATGCTGGACAACATCGGCGTCGGCCACGCGCGCGAGCGCTTCCGCACCCTCGATGACGTCAAAGCCAGAGCCGAGGTACAGGCCACCAGTCGAGTCGCGGGTGTCAAACGCAATCATGGCCATGCATGAGCAGTCGACCCGGATCCGCGAGGTGCCGAACGCGTTGAGCGCAAACTCGTGGACAAGGCCGCACTCGTCCGCGCCCATCCCGCCTGCGGTGCACAGGACCCGGAAGGTGTTGTCGAACGAGTTGGGCGGCGCGCCGGTTACCGCGTTGGAGACCGGCCCGACCGGCTCCGCTGCGGCGGCGGGCGCAGCAGCAGCAGGTGCATCTCCTGCTCCGCCTACGGATCCACCCGGCGTCGGCGGAAGCTTGCGGCCGCTGGCAGCGGCGGAAGGAGTGCTGCTGTCGGTGGCTGCAAGATCGTCGTCCTTGTTAGCGGCAAACTCGCAAACGCCATCGTCAAGACCAATGACGTCCGGGACGCGACTGATGACCTCGGCGCGCTCGTAGGCAAGCTGGATGCACTCTTGGTGATAGGCAAGCGTGGCATCGTTGAAGGCGGCGGCGGCCCGGCGGACAACCTGGTGCTCAAAGCGCTTGACCACCATGCGCATGTGGCCCACAGCATCCTCCAGCTCTGATGCCGACTTGCTTGCAGCGGCAATGTCCGCCTCGAGGCCGCCCTTCTTGGCGTCGTACTTCTTCTGGCCCTGGGCCTTGGCATTCTTCTTCTCGGCCTTGGCCAGCGCGCCCTGAGCGTCTTTCAGCTGCTTGAGCAACGCGTCGAGATCGCGATGCTTGTCGCGGATGTCACGCAGCGCGTTCATGTACACATCGTGCTGCTTGATGTACTCAGTCTCGGCCTCGGCCTGCTCGCCCTGGATCCGCCGAAGGTCTGCGGCATACTCGCTTAGTGCCGAAGACTCGTCATCGGCCCACGCTGCAAAGTAGTTTGCCGCTGCCTCCCCCGAGTTCTCATGCAGCATGAGTTGCTCGTGCCCATCACCCACCCATCCACACCCCACCACCCACCCACCGATCATCAGGTGCAGGATGGTCTCTCCCTTGATCGCCACCTGGTGTGCGCTGATTAGGCACACAACCATCCCCCCTCCCTCCCTGCACCCTTCACCCATACACTCGGCGCCAGAACATGCCCACGTTGACGCCAACACCCTCCACGGCCACGGCCACGGCCACTCCGCGGCCACGACCACCACATGGCCACGGCCACCAACCAAAAGGCCACGACCACCACACGGCCATGGCCACCACACGGGCACCTGGCAGACATACCCTCCACCTGATTGGTCTTGTATACCCTCAGCGACTTGGCCACGTCCTACACACCCACCCATCAACACCATGAGTACGGGTATCCTCCTCCCTCTCCCTCCCCCCCCCCCCC